AAACACCCCTAAGGCAGCGCACAGCTGCCTGTAACCCCAGTTCTAGGTGATGCAACGTTCTCTTCTGCCCTCTGTAGGCGCTGCATGTGCACGCACATCCCTGCACAATGACACAGGCAAAAGCAATAAATCTTTAAAATAAAAGGAGAAGAATGGCTACAATCATTAAAAAGCTATTTTCCTTTTTTAGTGTACACAGCCATGCAAGCTCAATTTTTCCCATATATATTTGCTAAAACCAAAAATCAATCAATCAATCAATCAATGCAAAAGTAAGAAAATCCAACTTTCTCCTATTAAGTATTAGAGCAGAGAAACATGCAAAAAATATAAGGCAAAGTTGCTACTCTCACTAATTTTTAAATATAAAGTGGGTTTTCCATGATTATTTTATATGAATTAACAAATATTTAAAGCATTTCACAACTTTAACTTTTATTATGTTCAATACTTGGGAGTAAAATCCATAAAAATGTTTGTAGCTCTTTATCAATACTATTAAAGATTTATTTTATTTATGTGTGTGTGCATGTGTATGTGTCTGTGTGAGAGGATGTGTATCTGTGTGTACAGGGACCTGCACCATTGTAACAGAGGCCAGAAGAGGACATCAGATCCCCAGCGACTGGAGCTGTAGGCATTTAAGAATGCAGGGCTTGCTATAGGAGTGCTGGAGTCCAAACTTTGGTTCTCAAGACTGCAAAGCACTCTTAACCGCTGAGCCATTTTTCTAACCAAAGTGCTTCGTAAATTTTAAGGACATATCATGAAATCAAAAGGTTTGAAAACTGTTGCCTTAGAATATTAAATTTCAGTAAGAAAGGTTAACCAATAAAATAGGAGGCTAATATTTACTAGTGCTATAAAGTATCGGGCTTATTCTTTAGGCCTTTCAGGTTCATTTCATTTAAGTCCCATTATTTGAGTAAAGAGAGAGAAGGGCTCAGCATAGAAGTATGGTGGGGGTGGGGGTGGGGTGGTGGTGGTGGTGCTGCTGCTGCTGCTGCTGGTGGTGGTGGTGCTGGTGGTGGTGGTGGTGCTGGTGCTGGTGCTGGTGGTGCTGGTGGTGCTGGTGGTGCTGGTGGTGGTGCTGGTGCTGGTGCTGGTGCTGGTGGTGGTGGTGGTGGTGCTGGTGCTGGTGCTGGTGGTGCTGGTGGTGCTGGTGGTGCTGGTGGTGGTGCTGGTGGTGCTGGTGGTGGTGCTGGTGGTGCTGGTGGTGCTGGTGGTGGTGGTGGTGGTAGTGGTGGGGTGTGTGTAGATCATACAATTAAAGTCTTAAGATCACTTACTACTACCTATCAGTAACAGAATACAAGTCTCATTCTGTCTATCTCAGTAACAGAATACAAATCTCATTCTGTCTATCTCTAAATAATACAAAATCACACTACAACAATCTGAAAATAAATAATCTTAAAGGGCCCTCAAGTCATGAGGAAATCCTTAAATTATGCTCAATAATTTATGAAGTCAATAAAACATAAACAACAGGAAGCGCTACAGTCAAGAGTTGGGTCCTGGCTTTAGTCTGCTGGGTCCAGATAGCAGCTCTGTCATGTAATCTCACTGTGCTCCCATAACCTTCTGAGAACATGAGGAACACCCTCACATCTACTTTCTAAGCTTGCCATGATGATGACACAGAACTGTAACTAGTGTATGTCCTGGCACAGAATAAGATTCTAACAGTTAACCACCATGACGATAATTATAGATAGTTCTTCAAGGAAGTGTCTACTCAGAGAAAACATAGCATCTCCAAGGAACACTGGTTACTTGTCTTTTTATGTTAAAAATTCTCTCTTGGAAAAAAGAATGATACTTCGAAGGTTTAATAGTATTTAAATGTTAATTAGTTAAGCAATCATCTTGGAGCTTGAGTATATATGAGATATAAAGTACTTAAAGATAAACAGGCACAGAGAATGGACTTCCAGCCAACCTGAACACTGACTAGCCACAAAGCTCTTCTTGGTGTGTGCTAGGACCAACTCAAGGAAAACAGCACACAGCAGTCTGCACATGCTCATGCACAGCTCAGGATAGCCTTTATTCATTTAAATCTCCAAAATGTATTTGCTCAGCCAAATTTTCAAAGGAAAAATTCAAGGAATGTATCTTGACAAAAAATATTACCATCAAAGTATACTCAAATGTTCTACATCAACAAAAGTACCAAGATTAAAGGAATTAATCCCTTGCCATGCCAAGGCAAACCGGAGTTTAGAAAAGACATGAGGGTTTAACAGTCATTTCCCCATCATTCTCACATCTCCAGAAGACAAATGAAACTGCTAACTGCTCGCAGCTTGCTCAGAGAGAAAAGATGAAGTAACCCTGCAGTCGAACGCCGTTGGGGGGGCAGAGTCCCAAGGAAACCAACACCATTCCCACCTCACTGCCTCTGCATCCCCACATCATTTTAACCCATTCCACTGAGTAGACCTTTAACATCTAGAAAAAAACAAATATAAATAAAATTAGGGTGAAACGTCTGTCTTATAATTAGAAGAATGATTAAATTTTGGAAGAGAATTTCATAGTAATTGCAAATCTTAATTAATCTAATTTTAAAATATCAGGTATGGTATTTGTTTTCAATTTTTCTTTAAGTCTCATTCATTCTTTTACAGGGAGAACCAAAGTCAGAAATAATGGAAACTTAGAGGCAAACTTTCTGGTAAGACAGAGCTGTTCTTTCCTCCTCAGTCAACTATGTATATCTACATGGTCTAGAGTAAGACTCACAACCTGGAGAAGCTCCAGCCTTATCATTGGACAGGATGGGAATAAGGCCGGCTGACACACCAGTTAAGTAATCCAAGGTCCAAGCATGTAAATGCTTCTTAAAGCTAAATGCTGTTGCTATAGACTCAAAAGTCAATATTGTTCTTAAATTCTTTCCTTAAGATTTATCTTTAATTATGTGTATGCATGTGTGCCTCTGTGTTCAATGTGCACCATGCACGCAGGTGCATGTACAGACAAGAAGGCCTCTGTGAGATTATGTGCACCATGTGTGCAAGTGGATGTACAGGTAAGGAGGCCTCTGTAAGTTTCTGTGCACCATGTGTGTAGATGCATGTACAGGCAAGGAGGCAACTGTGGGTCTATGTGTACTATGCATGGAGGTACATGTACAGATAGGGAGTTATCAGATTCTCTGGACCTGGAGTTACAGGTCAGCTTTGAGCTATCTGGTGTGGGTGCTGAGAACTAAATCCAAATCCTCTGGAAGAGCAGTAAGACCTCTTCACTTACATTTTTGATTCTCTGTAGTTTTATCTTCATCACAAAATGTCATATAATTATCACAATTTGCTGTTTCAGATGCAAAGAAAATTTCAACAGCAAAACATGGCTGGATTTGAATTCAGCTCTGAGCCATTTGAACAGTGCCTTCTTGGTCAGAGAAAACAAAAACTCAGTACATTCAGTGCCTCTGCATTTATCATTTAGCTAAGAACAAGCATTTAAAGCTGTTATTGTACTAAAACAAAGTATTTGGAAATTTCTGCAGTAAACTAACTTTATGACAAGTGAAAAAATACTCATTCTCTGAACTTCTATATAATGTACATCAGAATTTCAAGAAATACCAAAGATATCTTTTTTAAAAAAACTTTAATAGATAATTCTTTGTGGATCTCATACCATGCATTCTGATCCCGTTTATCTCCCTTGTCTCCTTGCAACCATAGATATTTTCACCTTAGCCAGGTACAATGCTTTATCTTAAAATTATTTCAGAAGCAAGAAAAATATTTTCCCATGCAACACTAGGGAGAATTGCTTTTTTTGATAATTCCGTTAATGGGATCACGATATTGTTTTTTCTTTTTGTCCTCCAACCTCCACAAGAGCAAGTCCTCACTCAACTAGACACTCCTAGGAAATGACAGTCATTTCACTTTAAAGGCTAGTGGGCAGCCTACAGATGCAGAATGGACATTTCATCGCCAGTTAGAATCAAGGAATGGGTCAAATTTGTTAGGTGGTAAATAAAGCTGGGGAAATACCAACATTTCCACTCTTTAAGAGAAACACCACAAAATAGCATCTTCCAGATTACAAAGGTCAAATCACATAGCAAACTGCTCAAGTACTGGGCTAGTGAGATGCTCCAGTGGGTAAAGCTGCCAGCCTACACACCTGGTGACCGGAGTTTGATCCCCAGAACCCACACACAACTCACACAGAAGTAGGCGAGAACTAACTCCACAAAGTTGTCCTCTGACCTTCACACACGCCCATGTCCATTTCCTACACAATAACAAATTCTGTGTGCATGTGCATGTGCGTGCGTGCATGCGTGCGTGCGTGTTTGTATGTATGTATCAGGGCCAGCAAGAGAGTGAGGACATTTTTGTCACTCACATCTAGTAACATGAATCAAATACTCAAAACACATAAAGATGGAAGGAGAGAACTGACTCCACAAAGTTGTCCTCTGACCTTCACACACGCCCATGTCCATTTCCTACACAATAACAAATTCTGTGTACATGTGCATGTGCATGTGCGTGCGTGCGTGCGTGCGTGCGTGCGTACGTGTGTGTGTGTGTGTGTGTGTGTGTGTGTGTGTGTGTGTGTGTGTATTTGTATGTATCAGGGCCAGCAAGAGAGTGGGGACATTTTTGTCACTCACATCTAGTAACATGAATCAAATACTCAAAACACATAAAGATGGAAGGAAAGATCTGATTTCACAAAGTTCTCTTCTGACCTCTCCACATATGCCATGGCATATACACACACCTGCCTCCCTGCCCCTACCCCATACTAAAAGATTTTAGATGCCCAAGTACCAAAATTTCTCATCCCTCTTTTGTAAAAAAAGTGTGTGTGTGTGTGTGTGTGTGTGTGTGTGTGTGTGCGCGCTGTTTGGGCTTCTCCTGTCTTCACCTTCTACCTCCTCAGAAACACTGAGACTGAGACACATTTTACCGTATCCAGGTTGTGTGAAGGTTTGGCGGATCCAAAGTCAGGTCCTCACAGTTGAGAAGCAAGTGCTCTGTCCCCTGAGTTGTCGCCCCAGATGGCATCTTTCCATCAATCCAAAGCGTAAGAAGTTATTAGAGCTCATGATGCTGTGACTTAAAGGTGCCGTGTCTCCACATCTGGGTAAGAACTTGACTCCTCAGTTTTACAGATATCTATGTACAGAGTAGACTCTTCAGGCATGACTCTGCTCATGCCCGACAACCAAAGCGACGAGTCTATATGGTGCACACGCAGCATTTACCTTTATCCCTAGTGTGACTTCATGTATCCTTCATAAGGAAGGCCACTACTAAATTAGGACGTGATGATGTATTCTTATCATCAGGAATATGAAAAGCAGCATTCCTTTGGAGCACAATTCATATATTTTAAAATTACATTCAAAATGTTACTAAAACTCTTACCTTGATTTTGTTATGGCTAAGACCACAAAAAAGTAGACATTTCTGCTGGAGCACTTAGGTTCTTATGTATAGTATGTCTGCTAATTAGGAAACTTTGGTTGCCTTCCTTTCTAATTTGTATCCCTCTTATCTCCTTCACTTCTTACTGCACTAGCTCTCACTTCAAGTACTATGCTGCATAGGAAGGAGGAGAGTAGCTACCATTGTCCTATTCCTGATTTTGGGTTTTTCTCCTTTTGAGATGATGTTGAATGTGTGCTTCCTATGGATTGACTTTACTATGCTGAAATATGTCTCCTGTGTCCCTATTCTCTCCAAGATTTTATTATGACGGGACCTTGGAAAATGAAGGTGTGGATGTGGCTCTTCTGTAAAAGAGCTTCTCAATCTGGGCCCTGCAGACTAATAAGCCCAGCAGTTCTAAGTGGGGGAGGACAAGCCTGTGCTAGGCACTGATCAGTATGTAATGACTTTCCCAAAATCTACACCATTTTAAAAACTGGCTGTTTGGAACCTGGGGCCTAAACAGGGACACTTGGCTCAGCCTGGGAGGAGGGGACTGGACCTGCCTGGACTGAGTCTACCAGGTTGAACCCAATCCCCAGGGGAGTCTTTGCCCTGGAGGAAATGGGAATGGGGGTGTGCTGGGGGGAAGGCGGGGAAGGGTGTGGTGGGGGCGGGAGGAGGGAGATCAAGGGAATCAATGGCGGATATGTAAAATTAAATTATAAAATTAAAAAAGAAATAATAAAAAAGCACTCTTTACACATGTAATTATTTTTCCTTCCATCTGAAATTGTTCCCCCACTTGTGCAAAAAGTACTCATTTTTCATGATCCATCTTAAATATTGTCCCTTGTAGTGGGGACTACTCCTTTAGTCAAAGCTAAGTAATACTTTCCATTATAACACTCGCCACCTTGTTTTTCTGTGTTCTGTTTTCCCCTTGAGATAGTAAGAACTCTATCTTATTATTTACTTGGTTTTCATTGATTTTACATATTCAAAAAGACAGCATAAATGCCTATAAATGCTTTATAAAACCATTACTGTGCTAAAAACTCACATTGCCATGGAAATTTTTAATTCAATGAATGTCTCACAATAAGAAGTTTATAACCCCAGTTCTTATGTCATTTGGTTTGGTTTTGCCCCAACCTGCAGGAACTGAAATACAATGATATGGGCTTTATAAACCAAGGTCCTTAGGTGTCCACGGGTTACCTATATTTTTAGTGTGTGTGGATTTGTGTTCACTGCTGTCCACTGTTCCATTTGTTTGTCATAGGAGTGGTTCAGAATGTAAACAGGTAAAACTTACAAATACAGAAACATGTACAAACAATGTTACAGCATGCAGATGGCACTTCAAAAATGAAAGTGATTTTGTAAATGATAAAACTGCTCTAACTGCCAACTCTAATCCCATGTAAAGCCGAGCATCTCTTCAGTTATTCCAAAAGATATTTTAAATTTCAAAGAGAAGTCTATCTTAGGTTATCTACATATACATAACACATCTAAATAAAACGTGTGCTCCAACATGTTTTTGAAAGTGGGGATGGATGAACTAGGATTCTCGATATATTAACCACTACTGCAGCAGAATGCCATATGCCACAGACACTAACAAGATCCCTAACATGTGCCCCCTACATTCCTGGCCCAAGGCTCATTTCCCAGAGAAGCATGCTTGGTAACCTGAGCTAGCCATACCATTTCTCCAATCTTAGAATTAGTCTCTGTTGCCATGGTTTAAAAATAATCTTGCCAATGCCAGTTTCTAAGTCCTGGTCCTCAATTTCTATTTAAAATTAATAATTTTAATTCATAGTGTTCCTACAAGTAGCATAGGGGACTGATTTAGTGCCCATGGTCATTCATAAAGTAAGGCAATTAATTATCAGGAAAGCACCATCCACATCTATACTGGACTGGAGCAACCTCACCGAATAAATATGCAAATCCGATATCCTCAAGGCTGACAAGTTTCTATTATTAAACGGCTAACGTGTTTATTTCTGCCACAATAGCTAGATTTTTTCATGAATACGCATTAAATCCTGTAGTTAATAGCTGTGATGACTAGGTGACAGTGAGGACACTTCTTGAGAACCTGCATTTGACAGATCATTGACACACAGTCGCAGTTCCTTTTCACTTAAACAAGAATCATGCAATAGGAAATGAGCTGGAGCGATTAGAGATTATTCAGGTTTAATAGCATACATCCTTTTAGCTGGCGTTAGAACAATACACAATGTGGCGGAGTTAAACAGAGGCATCAATTATACTCTCAGACCTGCTAATATTTTTGACAATATTTAAATAGCACATCCCTTCAGGGCACGGCTTCTTTGCCCTCTCAGTTACACACCTGTCAAGTGTTTAATTCGCCAAAGGGAAACAGTTTGATTTCTAAGGGCAATCTTAATACTGTAGAAGCAAATTGGAAAAATTAAACATCATTGAATAGAAGTAATGAGAAGGATTGGAGGGGAAAAAATTGTAGGTTTAATTCAACAAGGCATGTCAGCATCTGTCATTAATGCAACAATATGATCATGTTCTTCAGTATGCCATATACACCTCGAGCTTTTCAATTATTCACTTCCTCTGCTTTTCTAAAAGACAGAGAATGATATTGGGCATGGGGGAGGGGCTGGCAATAGTAAAAAAAGATGCAAGCAGTAATTTCCACCTACTGTGCATATGAAATTGTACACTGAAAACATAAGATAGGTATAAGGTAACAAATTAAAACTAGCAAAGGGCAATTTGTATGGTCACTGGATTAAAAGCATGAAAAAATTTTATTCTTCACATTATTAAATTATAAACATTCACAAATTAGTATTCTTAAATCTAACATAATAATGTCTAGAAATTTATAATTAAATTTTAAAATAGAAAATAATATAATTATTGAAATTTTACTAGACTCATATAAAAAATAAGAAGGACCAGGACTTAGAAACTGGTAAGTAAAAGGAATTGGTAAAGATAGCATGCACCTATACTAGACTGGAGAAACTTCACAGAATACATATGCAAATCCAAAATTTCAAACTCCTGGGAAAAGACACCAACTTTTGAGAGATGCACAAGCATCAAGTCTATCCTTAAAAGAAACAAACCAGAGATCTAAAACAGGTTGCAGACCCAAAAGGCAATGAAGAAACCACCATCTACTTGTAGCTCTGCATTATAAATGTATCACTTACCTTTTGGGCCACTGTGATAAACAGGGCACAGCTACCCATCTCCCTCCTTTTCTACTAGTTTCTCTTCTACAGGACAAATGGCCCAGGAAACACAAGTTCCAATCTATCTAAGACATGGCAGCAGAATTCAAGGCCCTCACAACTTCACCTTGAACATGTATTGTAAGAATGTAATGTAGAGTCCAGCGGCTGCTCAGGACACAATATTCTGCAATACTTCCCACCTTTCACGGATGCCTACTTACTAAGACATGTGAGTCCCTAGTTAGTAGACTTCCTGGTACCTAAGAAGTAGGTTTATATCAAAGGAGGTATTGATGGACACACATCCTGCTCCCATCCCGCACCCTGCCTCCTGCCTGAGATTTCAACAGACTGCAGAACTGTTCCACAAAACATCCCCTATCCTCATAAATGTGTAAGAAGATCCATGTGCAGCCTGATTTTTCTCTCTTCAGAATCCCCATCATGCTATCTATTTCTGGTGCTGGAACCTGAACACTTCTCTGAGCTCTGTCCACACTGTCTTCTGTTGATCTGTCTATAGAGTTAAATAAGCCTACATCCCTATGGAATAATCTGTCTCAGTATCCTCTACAGTATCACAGATTTTCCTACATAAGTAGTAAAAATCACAGCAGGCAATAATTGGTCATAGAATGGGAAATTCCCTACAATACTCAATAGATTTCCCAGCAGGCTTCATGTGAATCGTGTAGCCCCACACAGCCTTAGAGGTACATCATATTTCCACTTAGAAACAATTTATGTGTATGGTTATGTGAATGTACACCATATATGTTCATACAGAGGCCAGGAGAATACATTGGATCTCCTGTAGCTGTAGTTACTTTAGTTATGAATGGGTGCTGGTAACTAAATTGGGTTCTCTGGAAGAATGGCAAGTAGTTGTAACTGCTGAGACACTTTCTCATCACCTAAATTAACTTGTAGCCACACGTGCGTCTCCTGATTGGGCATATGTTGTTTCTGCTCTTTAACTTTACAACTGGGTCTCAGGAAATAAACTATTCATTCATGTAAGATATTGACTTGATTTCAGGGGAAAAAGCATGAATTGTTATCTATAAAAGGACACCTGAGCCAGGTGGTGGTGGCTCATGCCTTTAATCCCAACACTTGGGAGGCAGAGCCAGGCGTATCTCTGTGAGTTCAAGGCCAGCCTGGTCTACAGAGCGAGATCCAGGACAGGCACCAAAACTATACAAAGAAACCCTGTCTTGAAAAACCAAAAATACATACATACATACATACATACATATATACATAAAAACACCTGGATTGTGGTAATGTGCTTTCTTTTGAGTTGAGTGTTAGAAACAAATGCCTAAGATTGTCATATAATTTGTGTGTACATATATACTGATGTGTGTAAGTATATTCTAAAACACATACATGTGGAGACCAGAGATCCACTTTGAATGTCCAGTTTAGTAGCAATCTACTTTGTTCTTGGAGACAGGTCTCTCACTGGCCTGAGCACAGTGATTAGCCCAGGCTGGCTGGCTGGCTGGCGAGCTGCAAGATTCTGCCTGTGTCTGCCTCCCCAGGCTTGGATTATAAGTGCCTCCCAATATGACTGATCTTTTTATATGCATTCTGGGGATCAATTTCTGGTTCCTACATTTATATAGCAAGCTCTTTACTGCCTTGGTGCATATTATCTAGTGAAAGCACATAGTTCTTACTCTTTCAGTGTTCACCTTTGCATCCTAGAATTGCAGATGTGCAGAGTGGTCATGACTACTTGTTTCTCAGCTCCACAGCCACCTCTCTCCCGTACTCAATGTGTAGAATTCATGCTGTTTGATGGCTATTTCCATGTCATCCCAGGAAATGCTCTTCATTTTGTCAGTTAAAACAGGGATCTGTTTGCTTTGTCATGCTCAGAATCTTTCAATTTGTGCTTCCTTAGAGAGCAGTACCAAGGGACACTGACCTCTCCTCAGACACCTGGTTTAAAATCCCGGAGTCCACTGTTTAATTCTAAGTCTCCAGGATTTGTCTTACACACTTCCTCAAGTTCACTTCGAGTGTTAGCATCTTCAATCCTCAGACCTTTCTAACCAACTCCCAGTAACATATTTTCTGTCTTCATTTTTTTGTTGTTGTTGTTT